GGCCATACTCTTAAGTGAAATAAATAAGACACGCATGTGTAAATACCGAATAGTTTCTCTAGTGTGAGAAACTGAGAGTGTAATAAGGACTAAAAGGATTAATAACTAATAATTGATACTTTGAAATAGGAAAAGTTCCAAAGGGGTAGGGGTGGTGGGAGGAGATGGAGAAAGGAAAGAATGGAAAGGAAAAATTAAAAATTATGAGAAAAGAAAAAAAACGGAAACGAAGTATGTAAATAGGGAAGGGTGGAGGGGGTGAAGGGTGCATAGATAATGGGGAAAAAATAAGAACTAAGATACATCATGTACAGGTACAAGCATCCAATGATAAATGTAAACGTATTGTATACCTCAAATGTACCAATAAAAGAATTTAAGCAAAAATAAATAAATAAATAAATAAAACAATGAAAAACTAGGAACCATTTAAGAAATGGTTAAAGAATTTATTTAAAGTATTTATTTAAGTAATATGTCTTTGAGACCATTCCAAAATTATTTATTTAAACTGTGGTACATCCATAGATTGATAAAAAGGGAAAAGGGGCAGCTCTATATGAATTGTAACAAATAATCTCAATTACATTGTTAAGAGAAAAAAGCAAGGGACAGGTATGTGTTTACAGAATGCCACTAACATGTAATACAGCTATCTATAGCTTTGGATACACACATCTCTATTAAGATACAGAAGAAACTGATAACCGAGTACCTGCAATATAGGAATAAGAGGAAGATAACCTTTTCACTATGTATGTTTTTATGTCACTTTTAACTTTGCAGTATGTATTTTGTATTTGTTGGGTCCCAAATGTCCTAATCCTATGAAAAATTTTGCTGCCAAAGTACTGTAGTCGCCTTTGCCTGCCCACCTTCCTTCCAACTCTCCTGTTTTTCAGCCTCATATTTCACAGACACAATCTTATTTCACCAAATCCCAGCAGTGTCCCACCATGTTCCTTTCCTGAGCAAGAGAAATCCTTTTCAATGGCAATTGACTTAAATAAAGCTCACAATAAAAAAGGGCCATGCAAAAAGTTAGCATTTCAGTTTAACAACATCGTACAGTAATACCTTACCTACGAATAACAGGGATTAAGAATAATCCACATTGTAAGTATTGTATTTTTCAAATATCCCATTTTTAACATTTTCACAAGAATATATAATAAATATTTAAATTGCTTTTCAATTACTTTGTGTGTGGGATCAATATTTCTTTGATGATAATACAACATGAGACAGGAACATAAGAAAGCCAGGCTTTATGT